TGATTATGATGAATTAATTTATGGATGGATGGCATATGTCCAAAAGGACAATGAAACTTTTTTAAAATATCATCTTGCACTATTTAATTATACGACAGAGGTACACGATACAGAATTACTTGATGAGATTTATAATGATTATATTGAGGATATAGGAATCTTTTTAAAATATGGTTCTGTATTATTAATGTGGGCGATTAAGTCACAAGCTTCAAACGTAATAGATAAGATTTATAATAAGTGCTTAAAGCTATTTGAGCAAGATTTAGTATACAATCAAGCGTTCTTAAGCATTATTAATGAATCTATGCAATTATTGGATAAACATTATCCTGAATATATTGCAAGATATTCTTCAGATACAAACATGATTTTAATTTCTCCTAAAATCGAACAACTTAGCACATCTCATCTTAATCCATTTTTTAATATTGGTATAATTAATTTAACACCATCAATTGCATGGACAAAATATACGCGTCTGGTCAATTATTATAGTGATAGTAAATACACAATAATTCGGTTACCATTAAAGATATATATTGCTATTCAATATGTAATCTTTTTTTTGACATTACCCATTTCTTTTCCTATATTTCATATTTTAAATAATTTTCATATTATTAACGAAATTTATGACGATGGATTTTCTTTATGTTACTATAAGATAAATAATAAGATCTTTCCGAAGAAGAAACTCATGCCTGCAATTACTTTTATTATTCCTTATATACAATTTGCTTGTTATCCGAGAGACTATAGCTGGTGGAGGGATTTAATTAAGCCTAAACCTAATTCATTTGTAGAAACAATAAATAAAGAAATATACAAGACATGGAATGGTGAAGCAGTAATTAATTTTAAATGGAATAAATATGGAAAATATTATTATTATACAATTTGGATATTTTTTACTGCTTTACTTGCATGCTTTACGGCGGCTGCTTCGACAAATTACGAAAATATTGCATCTGAAAGTATTAGAAATCGACTTTTGATCGCCACAATTGTACTGGGATTTATTCACTTAACTGTCGAAATTCGTCAGATAATTTATGATCCTATTGAATGGGTTATTGATCCTTGGAACTATTTTGGTAAGAATTATTTATTAACTTTCATTGCAATCACCATCGGTTTCTAATTAATTTTTAAAGATTTTGGAGCGTATATAGTTCCTACCATTTCATCTATTTATTGGTTATATGCCGATGAAAAACCCTACTTTTGGCTTTCAATTTCATGTCTTTTATTAGATTTTAAATTTTTATTGTTCTTCAGAGCGTTCGAATTATTTGGAGTCTACTTTGTAATTATCGTTGGTGTGGCGAATAAGATAGCTTCCTTTTTGGTTATTTTGTTTATTGTACTTTTAAGTTTCGCTCATGCCTTTTGGATTCTGTTACAGCCAAGAAAATATTATAGTTTAGACAAATCACCTACAGACCATGATGATCCCAATAATCCTTGGGAATTAACTGATAAATATAATCAAATACTAGACAACGGAACCATTGTAACGTTTGTTCAACAACCTGATAAGAATACGAACATGTTTATTGATTACGGGTCTTCACTTTTATCAATGTATTTATATATCATAGGTAATTATATTCCTTTTTATATCTTTAAATCTTAAATCTTTATTTATAATTAACACATTCATCATCAATTTTGTTTAATAGGAGATTCGAATGCTTTGCCCAACTGGGAATATTTGGACAATCCACAACTTACCATACTTATAGTTTTATTTTCTTTATTAATTGTCGTGTACCTCATGAACTTGTTGATTGGATTACTCAGTAATGCTATTGACGAGGATAATAATAGAGTTTCATATTTAGTTCAAAAGGCGAAGGTATTTATTTGTAAAATATTTACTATAAATTTTTTTTAATTTTATATTTTCTAATAATAAATAATTATCAACCAGATTTTGGCAGAAATCGAATTATTTTACTTATCTCCAGGACAGAGACGTTGGAAATCCTGGTTTCCTGACGTGATGTAAATCTTTTTGTTAAAATTATTTCATGTTTATAAATTTAGTTTAATTGTATTATTTTTACTAGGCATTATCACGCCGCAGTTAAAGAGACACGTAGAGAAATACAAAAATTAAAGAAAGAAGGAGAATGGAGTACTGATAAATTTTCAATTATTAAAGAAGATTTATTAAAGATGTTAAGTCTGAGCTAAACATGCTAGATGTTCGGAATGCACTTAAAATATTTAGTATACTTATTGGTACAATGGCTAGTTAACTATTTTTAATAAAAACTTAATATTAGTAATCATTATTGTATTGTTTACTTAATGAAGTTAGCATAGACCAAATTTACCACCGGCCATTACGATCTCTAGTCAACTTGTCCTCTGGGCGAGTTGTCCTTCAAAAATAATGTATAAAAAGCGGGATTGATGCTTGGGTTAGGAGAGATAGTTTACTTTCGATGATAATTTTAATTATATAGAAAATCCCGATAAATCCTTTAAACAGATATTTTTTAATAACCGTAATGATCAACATTTAATATGGGAGCTTTGCTATTAAAAATGGATTCCGGGGACTTTTAACAAAAAATGAGATTTTTGGTTCATATTATAGTATACTAAATGAACTTTATTTGGTTAAATTTTTAGAGTCTATTAGCTTATTAATAAAGCAAGCAA